ACCTCAGCCTCCCAAAGGCGCGGGATTACAGGCTGAGCCACCGAGCCCGGCTTGCTCTGGCTTTTAACTTTGTTCGTCACACCAGCTTTCTTAGGCTTCTCAGTGCCAGAAAGAAGCCAAGTAGAGGCCCAAATGACCGGTTCTGCTCCAAGTTGCCTCAGCCCACAGCCAAACCGCAGCATCTCCACCTGGGGAGAAGGGCTCCTATGTTTTGTTCCCTTCACCCTGAGTACGCATGTGTTTGTTTAGTCTCCAGATAGCTTTTTTGTAAAAAGAAGTGTGGAAATCATTATGGTAGCCGGGTTTGGTGGTTCAGCCTGTAATCCCAGCGCTTTGGGAGGCTGAGGTGAGTGGATTGCCTGAGCCTGCGAGTTCGAGACCCGCCTGGGCAACTTGGCGAGACCTCATCTCTACAATAAATCAAAAATCAGCCAGGCGTGGTAGCGCACGCCTGTAGTTCCAGCTACTTGGAAGGCTGAGGTGGAAGGATCGCCGGAGCCCAGTAGGTCGAGGCTGCAGTGGCCGGGAGCGGCCACTGCACTCCAGTCTGGGTGACAGAGTGAGACTCCAACTCAAAAAATAATAATAATAATAATTATGGTATATAATCTACCCTCAACAGAGCTTTTTAAAATTACAGTGCTAAAATGGTTTCTGATAAAATAGTCCTTAACTCAAGTAGAAGAGTAAAAATACAGGATGACAGAATAAGCAGAGTACTCATGGTGCCTTTGAGAAAAATCAAAACATCATGTTGGGTGACCTAGTTTCCAAACCAATAAGCAGTATTGCAATATTAAAGAAAAACTGGGCCGACCTCAGTGGCTCAGCCTGTAATCCCGTGCTTTGGGAGGTTGAGGTAAGTGGATTGCCTGAGCCCCCGGGTTCGAGACCCGCCTGGGCAACTTGGCGAGACCTCATCTTTTCAATAAATCAAAACATCAGCCGGGCATAGTAGCGCGTGCCTGTAGTTCCAGCTACTTGGAAGGCTGAGGCAGAAGGATTGCCGGAGCCCAGCAGGTGGAGGCTGCAATGGTTTGGAGCGGCCACTGCACTCCAGTCTGGGTGACAGAGTGAGACTCTAACTCAAAAAAACAAAACAAAACAAAACAAACAAAAAAATATGTTACTAAGACTTTGTTACAAATGTTACCTTTACATTCTGATTTTTCATATAAGTTTATGTTATCATTTTTTATTATAAAAATGTGGGGTACAATTCAAGGTTAGGTTGATTATGCAGGTACCCTTGTTGATGAGGTGTGCCCCTTCCTCCTCAATAAGTTTATATTAACAAAATGTCCACAGATAGGCCCAGTTGTATTTCACTGATAGAGCTAGTTACATTGCAACTAATAATGTCAATACAAATAAAAGAAAGTTGGTTGCACATAGCCAACTTTTACTATATATTGTTCTCTATTTGCTAAATCCCATCCTCCAACTAGATAATAAACCTCAAGAACTCTGTCACACTTCTCTGAACAATAAGGGCTATGTCCATATAGTGCTCTGAAAATAGTGCTCTGAATAATAAGAGCTCTAAATAATAAGGGCTATGAAGACAGGAGGTACTGATAAAGTTCCTGCAGAACTTTCCAATTAATAGATTAAGCTCCCATTCCTGAAAATGACCCGGAGAACTCACTCTGCTACCTTCTGTAGCCAGTTTCTTACCGTGCATAATCCTGAGGGGAGATCAGAAACTTCTCTTTCATCTGGACCTCAGCCTTGTTCTCCCACCAAAATTTGTTGGTCGCTTTCTTATGCTCCGGGCTGAGAATGGAGAGGATGAATAATCTCAGTTATAAATTATAAAACACTACTCAGCTAAGCATTAGGTAATAATGGAAAATGACACCTGGGTTTCCGCCTGGAGCAAGGCTGAGAAAGGAATACAGTTACCAGTCTCTTCAAGATCTCCAGCTTCCCTTCTTCCAATAAAATTGTGAGACCAGCCGGGCTCGGTGTCTCAGCCTGTAATCCCAGCACTTTGGGAGGCCGAGGTGAGTGGATTGCCTGAACCCGCGGGTTGGAGACCCGTCTGGGCAACTTGGTGAGACCTCATCTCTACAATAAATCAAAAAAAAAAAAA